CAGTGAATTTACTGTGTAGATGTGGCCCAAAGTTCACTGGAAGTCAGTGACAGGCTGGTAAAAACCTGTTTCTGAAAATAGGACTTAAAGCTTTAAAAAAATTTCCCTTTGCTCTTCACCTGGTACAAAACAGTAAAATATGGCTGTACTGTAGACCCTGAGAATGAGCAGTGGCCAGAGAGGAGCTAATAGCCTGGCATGTTGGCTTAGCTGGGCAAAGAGATTCCAGCCTGTTTCATACTGCTTTATTCTTGCTTTTCACCCAAACAAAACATGCAGACTGGGAGACGGTATCAGGATTTATCCCATCAGTGAAATGCAGGCCCCCCTCCAATGCATGGTCTTTCAGTCAGCTTTTAATTTTTTTGCCATTTTATTAAAATAGTACCTTTTCTGAAAAGATTTATGGAGATACTAAGAGTATTGTTAATCACAGCGTGTCATAAATTCCAGTAATTAACTATTCCCAAACAGTGAATTCCTAGAGAAGAGGACATATGCAGAAAAAGAAAAAGTGGAAAGGCATTACTAAAAAGACGAGAGAGAATTTGTAAGAAAACCACCAGCATTAGAGTATGGCTGCTTTTGCAGCCCCTCAGAGTCTCCTGGCTAATAGTCTGCTGTACCTCAGTGGCCTGAATTTTAGAGGGGTGGACAAAACTGTTTTTTGGGTACTTAGTACTTTTGAAAATTGGCCCTAAACTTACTGGAAATAACTGAGGGAAAAAAAGAAACATTCTGCCTGTTCAGAATATTGCTAGCTATGACAAAAACTTTAATAAATCTTTTCATCCATAGAATATACAAAAATCCAGCCACATGACTAATGTGGAAGACAATGTAATAACATCAGCATCAAATATTAAAGAGAGCAGTTTAGCTCAGCAGAAACTGCAGTAAAAGTTTAGTGGCAACACAGTCCTTTATATCAAGTGTTATCAGTCATTTTGGGCACCTTTGAAGAAATAAGATCTTGGCTATACCCTGGGTTGCAGTCCTCCCCAACGCACTGTTTGGTCTTATTTTTAAACAACTTGTTGAATAATCACTTTCTGTATTTCTTCATGTTAAGCTATCCAGCTTGAATTTTAGTTTATTATACTGCATTCAGAATATCTTTTTACAGCTTAGATAGCAACTTTATACTACTCCCATATATTGTGTTACAGCTGTTTTAAAATACTGGTTGTACTGAAACATCTCTTATTTATTTTAACCCCATAGAAGCCAGATATACTCAACTTGTAAAAATGTAGGACACTTAGCTGAACTTAGGTGGAGGGGAGTAATATGTTTTTTCATCTCTGACAAAAAGTCAGGACAGGTTTGTTTAACAGCTTAATGCTTGGTATACATGTAGCCCTGAAAGACAGACAGTGAATGTTACTGTGTTTGGAAGATGATAATTACGAAAGTTTCAGAGGTTTGGAAACTATATGACTGAACATGGCACTTAGCTAGTGTTTAGATTTTCATTCTTCTGCATAGACATTAAAGTACAGTGTGACTGTAAAAGTGACACTGAGGGTGTTTGGGTCAGTGACGCTATGTTAAATTTATTCATTTTGCAAATAAAAGATTTTTGTCTAGCTGCCAGCCTATAGACTTACCCTTTGAGCTAAAAGCCAAGCTGGGTTTATTCTTTCTTTGACATTAGCATCACTAATTATAAAGGCCAGAGAATGTCTTCAGTCTTGTCCTGTAAAACCTTGATGAAGGTTTTTGGGGTTGCACAGGCATGTAGTTTATTTGGTAGCAGTGAAACTGTACAAGTGTAACTGAGGGTACAGTTTGACTTGTATGATCTTTGCAAGTGCTTATGACGTGTGCAAGGACAAAAGTGGAGCTTTGCTCTCAGATCTCAGATTGAGAGGGTGGCAATTAACAATTGCAAGGCTGGCAATTAAAAAAAATACTAGTTTCACAGTGGAGCCACATTTTAATGACCAAATTCTGTAATCCTGTGGGGGTGTGTGAGGGCTTTAGAGAGCGAGTAGAGCTTTCTCTCCCTCCACTTACATACCTCTGCAGGGAGAGCAGATACAGCTTAGAGTGTAAGTGCTGAATCAGGCTAGCACTGCCAGGGACCCTCCCTTCCCCAAGAGCCAGGATCCCCCAAACACATTTTCAGAGAAAGAGTGACTTTTCAGTCCCCATGTCACAAGAATGAATGCACTATAGAAATCCTGTTAAGTCATGCTTGCAGAAGCAGTTTTGGTTGCTTGAGATAGGTTGGTTTAACCAGTTATTACATGCCACATCCCTTCTTTCAAAAGTGTTTTTTCAATTATTTTTGCAATTCAAAATTTGAGGTAAGTACCAGGGGACAAATTCTGGTCTTTGCCTTTTGGAAGCTTCATTCCAGAGAGAAGTGGTGGCTTTATATATGCCTCCTTTGCATCCTCTGGTGCAGAGCCAGTCAGCTCTTGGCTTAAGTTAGAACAGCCCCACAGCATTCAGATTTCTCCATTGCACTCAGTAATGTGGGTTTGTCCCTGGCCTCTCCACCTGCCCCACGCATGCCTTGTACCAGGGATTGGGAAGATCTGCTTAAGGCTGCAGGGAGGGTGCGGGGGTGGGGTGGGGGGTGTTTGAAGCTCTTGGGCTAAAGGGATTTTCTAGTCTCTTGTGACTCCTGTGCAGTTTCTGTGCATCACCAGAGCTTAGGATGGGATCATCCATTTTTTTATTTTGATACTTGGATTGGCAGTTGCTCGAAAAGTGCCATGCTTCAGTGGCTCTTAGAGGCTGATGTGTTTGAAACCTGAACAAGTGCATAACGAAATGGGAGAAGTTTCTCTTCTCACATGTCCCCTCTTTGCTTCCTACCCAGAAGCCAGAGGCAGTTCTCTCTCTTGTAGTTCCTTTTGTGCAGCAGGAAAGTAAGGTCCGGTGCTGCTGCTAGACCTCACTTTCAAGAACGGGGGTGAAAAGGAAGTGGGTGGTAGCCTCAGTCTTGTCTACAGCAGCCATTAAGATTGGGTGTGCTTGGCAGGAGTGTGTGCTACTTTACCTTCTTTAAGGATGGGGCAAGCACCTTACTTGAGGAGGCATTCCTCTTGTGTGAGGATCATTTCAGGGTCTCAGTTGCTCTTGTGATATGCTGTTTTGCTGTCTCGATTTTTTTTTTTTTTTTAATAACCTTTTTGTACATAAAAATATGCTTTTCTTGTGTTGGGGTATGGTAGCGGAGTGTTTAAGGTGTCTTGCAACAGCTACAGGGCCATGTGATTGTAAGTCTTGTAGTAAAGACTGCTCTCATACCTGGTCATGCAGGCTGGGAAGTCAAAGGCAACTGTGTGTGAATGTAATAGCCATTTTGCTCTCTTGGGGGCCAGTGGCCCTGGAAACTGGCATGCCTTAGCTACACTAGTGTGAATGATTTATTTGGCTTAGAAAGGTCTTTTAAGATTGACTTTTTTGATACTTGTAGCTTGATCCTATGAGCTAAGTACAGCCATTTGGGGACGTTAGGGGGAGGCTAAATCGAATCAAAATGGCTGCCCGATATCAGGTAAATTAGGATGAGGGTCTTGCAGTGGGGGACTGGGGGTCCAGCAGGCTGGAGGGAATTGGGGGTATGCTAGCAGATAGGGGGGGCAGATGTGACCCACAAGGGGTGGGGGGCTGGCATGACCCATGGGTGGGTTGGGGGGGGGTCAGGCAGGGTCTACAGGTGGGGGGGGTCCCCTCCCCCAAGCAAACCTACATGCCTATCCCCTCTGCCCACTGGGACTTACTTGCTTGGCTCTGGCAGCAGTGAATGCTGATAAAAGCGACTGCACCCAGAGTGCCTTGTGGTATCGGGGTTGAGAGGGCTGGCTGGTTGTGGGGGGGTGTTGGACCAAGGGGCAGTGGGGCAAAAAGCCCAGTGCATGTGGGGGAGCAGGAGGTGGGAGGGGGATGAAAAGAGTAGCCCTGGAGCTAGGGCCAGTGGCTGGGGTTTCCCAGCCCTGGGTCTGCGCAGGGAAAGTATATAGAAGTTCCATGCACTGGTTTGACCTAAATCACATAAGTTTGATACTACATAGATCCAGGTTTATCTTAAACCAGGTTCTGCAATTTTTAGACCTGTTTCCGTGCATGGAAATTCTGTACAGTTACAGGTTTAGACTGATTGTCGGTCACTCAGACTGGGTCTGTAAATGTAAGGTTGGCACTAGGGCGAGCTAAGTTTAAATCGGGCGGCCATTTTGAACCCAATTCAGCCTCCCCAAATATCTGTACTTAGCCATGAGGTGCTCAGTGTCCTCTGAACTCGGAACACTCCGCACCTGTTAGGCCCAGGACATCTGCTTCATTGTGCTGTCTTCCAGCAATCAAATTTAACCAGATAATATAGAATGACTGAATGCTGCTTAATTGGTACAGAATTAGCATACATTTCCTTTAACAGGGACATGATTGCATAGTGCCAGATAAATAACTAATGTGTAACTGGATGTTAAAGGCATAAAGCTCTACAAGGCTGTCTTTTTTTTTTTTTTTAATTCACAGGTTGTAGAAGGTCAGAAGGAGAATGAAATGATTTAATTTTGGTTCAGTCTAATATTTTTAATAAAGTTTCTGCATGTGTTGTTTTATTGACAGCGGCTCTTTCATTTGCTGTTAATCAGGAGGATAGGAAGTCCACGGGGGAGTACTAAGAGGATTATATTGCATATGTTGTGAGATCCCGTAAGGCCAAATCTTGCTTGCCCTGTTTGCGTGAATAGTCCTATTGATTTCAGTGGGATTTTATGGTGGTTAACATAGATGACTTTTACATGATTAAATGCCTTGATTTAGATATACAGATAAACAAAATTATGCATGATGTGAAATTCATGTAGTTTATACAGATCTGACGTGACCACATGTCTTTGAATCTTACAAACATTAACCCTGCAGTATTTATAAATACTGAGCCATCTGTGGATGAGTATTGCAGATATTAGATTTAGTAGCTATAATGAGATGCAGATGAATCCAATTTAATCACCTTTTTAATTTTATTTTAGGCTAATGCTGATGTCACTGTACAACGTGAGCATCAACTTGAAGGGCTTGAAGTACATTAGTGAAAGTCCAGGCTTCATTCCATTACTTGGGTGGCTTTTGAAAGGTAAGGTTGTTCCAAGAACAGTGCAGGTTGTAGACTTTTTGGATAATAACTGTAAATTAACCTATATAGGTCATACCTAAAGATAATAGCTAAGTAGAAAATCTAATCTGTCACCTTGTTTTATATAAATTCTATCTGATCATAAAGGACCAAAGCAGGGGAAATAACTGAAGAGTAAAAGAAAATATTTCCATCAGTGGTTCTGGAGTGTTGCATTTGATTCATATAAAAGTTGTTACTAGTAATGTCCAGTGGTGGGAGTGGAAAAGCCTGATAAAGGAAATGGAAGACACCTACCTGTGTTTATATCTGTGTACTTTAAACTAATGTATTTGAAATGCTGTATCATGTAATGAAAAATATTAGAAAAGCAGGTGTAACTGTTGAAAGTACTATGGAGGCAAAATCAGTCTTTTTCTTTGATCCTGAGTCATTTTAGTGAAACTAATGAACTGTTGGGACTCAACTCATCTCTGGTATAACTGAGTCCAGCTCCCATTGACAAGAAGTGGCACAGACTGTGGTACTGGGCTTAAGCATTGGTTTGGGATGCAGAAGGTCCTGTTTTTAGCTCTATTGCCTAGCTGCTGGGTGACCTTAGGCATGCCGGTCCACTTTCTATGCCACTGTGTCCTGTCTCAGCTATGTCTCTTCTATTTTAACTGTAAGCTCATGAGCTATTACTACTGATAGTAATTGCTGAAGATAATGGTAGCCACACATGCTTGTGCAGGGATTCAGTTCTGTACTTGGAGTTCTTTAGTTTTTCATTTTTGTCCAGCAAATTTGGGATCACTCGTATCTCAAAGTTTTGCTGAGGCTTTATATAAAATGTATGTACTCGGGCTCATTGTCAGATAATAATAATTTTCATTACTGTAGTATCTTTGCAGGTTTTCAATGAATTAATTAAGCCTTACACTACACTCCTGGGAAATATCATATCCATTTTACAAATCTTTGACATAACTGGAGGAAACAAAAAGCTTAGTGGAAGAACCTAAATATATAGTCTGTGGAAACTTTATACATGTTGCTCCAAGATATCCTTACTTTCTGTCAGGTTAATATATAGGTCATTGTTCTAACAAAAAACAGCTTCTCTAAATTAGAGCTCCCAAATGTGCCCTTCAAAATGCTATGATAGAACAAAGGAGTTGCTTAATGTGATCCATTGTTTAATCAAAGCACCAAGGGTCACATAAGTGCACAAAGTATGACATAGAGTAGATAACATTTAATTTCCAGCTGTTGAAGGAAATGGTGATCTGTTTTCCAAAGGTGCTAATCATGCGTAGCTGGGGTTTGGGAAAAAGATGGGTGCAGCTAATTCCTTCACGATCTGATTTTAAAATTCTAAGCTTCTAACAGAGACGGGAGATGTCTATGCAGAGTGCCTACCCCCAGTTCAAAGGTCTGACTTCACAGAAGTTGTGCCTGCTATCAAGAGAAATAGCTGAATAGTTTGTGCAAGTGGATCAAGAGCACTGAATAGAGAGCATGCCCTGGGCCTGACCTCAAGCCCTTCCTTTGCAGGAGCTTCAGGCACTCTTTCTTCACCATCTCATTTCTTCCTCATTTTGCTTTTTTGATTTCCCTCTTTCCTCCTGGTTCCTTTCCTGCTTCCAAGGCCCCAACTCCTCAGCTTTCATTGGCCAGGACACACAACTTCCAGAGACTTCCAGCAGCCCAGCCTGAATTTCCTGCTTCAGTATGCATGCACATGTGTACTGGAGTTTTATAATTCCAGAGTTTCATAGTTTTATAGAGGACGCTTTGACAGAATTGGGTAAAGGTATGGCCTGGACTTCACACAGCTTTTCAGTTTCTCCTAAGATATTCAAAGATTCCCTGAAAGGAGTCTTAAAGGAGTAATTTTGAGTGCTGACAGAAGTGGTATTTGTCATGTGATCAGCCTCTTGAAAGCACAGCAGTCAGAGAAAGTGTGTGGCTGCAGAGTGCTTTAGAAGTGCCCAGCTGTGCTTCATGAGGGTTCAGATGAAAGTGCTCCAAAGTGGAGCACCTTCATTAACTTCTGTAAGTCACTACAAACGAGCAGGCCTGTGCTGATCCAGCCCAGCCCCAGCCCCAGTGCTGTCTTCAAGATGGGAGGAGGAGAAAGGAAGGGGAGGGAGCTGTGGGTTGGGGTTTGCTCAGCCTGAGCTGGAGTGGAAGTGGGGCTTCGATCCACCCCCGTCCCCCTCCAGCTCAGGCTGGGAAAACCCCAGCCCACAACTCCCTCCCCTTCCCTTCTTCCTCTCCCATCCTGCACACAACACTGGAACTGTCTGTAGGGGAGACAGGCTGCAGGCAGGCAGCTCCTTGGCTGGACTGGCTCCGAAGTGGAGATTTGTTTCCTACCCCCTCCCCCTCCCACCCAACAGGGAACATTTGTTGGGTTGGTAGAATCAGTCTAACTCATGGCGCTTTCTGTAAACCACCATGGGTTAGACTGGAGGGCTGCACATCTGTCAGTACCCTACCTAACTCTTCTTCCCCTGTCACCTAAAACCATCCCTTTTCCTTCAGTATCCTTGCTCTGCAAAAACTTACCATCTGGAATTTCAGAGTGTTTATGGGTTCATCCCCGAGGAGCCTTTTTCTGCTTTCACTTCCTGGACCTTGTCTAACTGCTTTTGTTTCCAGCTGTCCCTGAGTCTCTCGGTCCTGGTACCCTAGAAGGAGGAAACCTAAACTCAAGACTGTACTTTCCAAGAAAATAAGTGAGGGAGCAAAATACAACATCTTTAATTCTAAAAGACTTGTTCTTTTGTCCTTTTTCCCCCACTGTTTTTTTCCTAAAAGAGATTCCTTCCTCCGTGTCTGAGTTGAGCACACTTTTCAGGATAGCAAAGTTAAACTGATTCTGTCCGTCATCAAATCTCTGGCTAATAAGAGAAAGAGAGTTGTAACAAAAGAAAAATATTAAGAAAGAGGTAGGCTTTTCCATTCTACTTTCTTCAGAAAATATTGGTGATTCAGAATAGCCTCTTAGACCACAGCAAGAAATCTTAACTGTATCTGACAGCAGCTGCCTAGGTTTCAGTTGATAAAAGGACAAATCTTTTGAACCCTTCTGTGGCTAACATTGGCATTACTTGCCTTTCCAAGGTATAGAAAGTCAAAACCCAAGCTTAAATAAATAAATAAAGTGGCTCAGATTTCTTTGATTATGATGCAGTTCATGATGCTAGTATGATTCTCTTTGCATAGAGTTTCTCTGGGAGGGAGACACCATCTTGGAGAAGGTGGTCAGTAACAAGAGGAAGATCAGGGGAAGTGTGGGTCCCTTATTGAGTTGGGGAGGCAGCCTAGTGGCAGGACTCAGAAAAGGCTGAAGTACTCAATGCCTTTTTCACCTCAGTCTCCACAGGCAAGGTCAACTCCTAGACTACTACACCTGGCATCACAGTTTGGGGAGGTTAGCAGCCAAAAGTGGTGAAAGAACAGGTTAGGAACTATTTCAGGGGTAGGCTACATTTTTAGCCGGAGTGCTGGAAAAACCTGCAATGTCTACCTTGTAAGGTGCCAGGGTGCCAACATGCCAGATAAACAAAACCAATGCGGGGGGGTACATGGCAGGACGCACTGCATGCTAATATAGTTAATAATCATAAATATTGCTTTTTATGGTAAATACCAGGTTTTCTAAAAATTCTAAGCATGCTGACAATAAATAAAACTTCATATACTACCTTTTTTGTGTGTATTCTTTTTTTGTTAAGCATGTTGTTATGAGAGAGAGAAAAAACAGAAGAGAAAAAGAGGAGAGAGAGAAAAAGGGGGGAAGAGAAAGAAAAAAGGGAGAGACAAAAGAGAGAGATAAAGAAAAAAGAGAAAAGGAGAGAAAGATAAAGAGAAAAAAGAATGAATAGAAAAAAGGAGAGAGCAAAAGGGGAGAAGAGAGAGAGAAACGAAAGAAAAAAGAGAAGAGAAGAAAAAGAAGGAAAAAAAAAAGAGAGATAAGAAGAGAGACAAAAAGAGAAAGAGGGTGTGTTCCACACTGCCGATGTCTCCCACTATGGCTGGCTATGGGACTACTGGTATAGGGGAAGTGTCCAGTGGAGGGAACAGTGACACCCCAGCAGCAGCCACCAGGGCCAGGGCGCTCCATCTCCCTGACAGTCCTGGAGGAGGGGAGGATGGAGCCCAGGGCTGGGTAGTGGGGAAAGGGCCTAGTTGGAGCTTGGGCAGACAGATGCCCTGTCCCACCTGGGCTCCGCAGACTCACGCTAAGGCAGGTGGGCGGGCAGGGGGCACCCAGTGGCACCCATGGTGGGCCTAGTGCAGCCCATGCAGCTTCATGGGGATGGGGCGCCCACAAGGGGATGCTGCCTGGCGGGGGCAGGATGCTGGGCTTGCGGGGGCTTCCGGCTCTGGGCTTGGCCTCCCTCTGCACTAGGCATAATGTGAGTGGGGCAGAGCTGCCCCCGGTGCGGGGGCTTGGCTGTGGGAGCTCCCCAGGCTCTGGGAACAACCAATGCACAGGGAGGTTGAGCCCAGAGCTGGGAGCCCCCTGAGCCCAATGCCCTGCCTTGGCCAGGCAGCGTCCCCTTATGGGTAGGGCAGCTGCACCCCATCCGTGCGGAGATGTACAAGCCAGGCTGGGCCCCACTTTGGGTGCCACTGGGCACTCAGGCCTGCCCGCTGAGTGCAGCCTGACCCTGTGGAGCCCTGGGGCAGCCCCACTTCTTTCCTGGCCTCCGCCTTTGCATGGGCCTGGCTGGGCTGGTTGGCCTGCCCCGAGCACCTCCCCCTGCGCCTGCTTCTCTCCATGCTGTCCAGATGGACCCTGCCCTGAGTGTCTGGCCCTGGTGCTGTCCCTGTCAAGGTGGGATGGGGCATCTGTCTGCCCAAGCCCCAGCTGGGCCCAGGGCTTGCCCACCCGCTGAAGCCTCCAACACAGTGGCCCTGCGCAGTGCCTGCCTGGGCCCTGGCCCTGTCCACCTGCAGCTCCTCTCCAGGGACTAGGCCAGGCTGGAGGGTACAGCCTGGGGACA